AAAAGCACCTGAGGGGAGAACAAGAAGCAATGAGGGGAAACTAATCAAGGAGAGAAGCAACTTAGAACTGAGGAGGAATTTCCTGACAGTGAGAACCATTAACTAGTGGCACAGAATTTGCCTCCAGAAGTTGCAAATGCCCCAACGCTGGAAGTCTTTAAGAAGATGCTGGAGAGCCATTTGTCTGGAACGCTGTAGGGTTTCCTGCCTAGGCAGGGGGTTGGACTGGAAGACCTCCAAGGTCCCTTCCAGCTCTGCTATTCTATTTATCTCGTCCCATGATGGGGAACCTCTGGTGCAGGTGGCACATGGAAGCATATCTGCTGGCGCATGAGTCATCCCCTCGTGTGCGCAGGTGCTGCTGGTCAGCTGATCTTGGGCCGTCCGGAGGGTCAGAAAAGCCTCCGGAGTGGCCAAAAAATGGGGCCAACCAGAAGTTCAGAAGCTCCTGGTGGCTTTGCACGATGAGTGCTGGCACGGAGGCTACGGCATGCGTGCCCTGGCCTTCATGGCACCCGGCAGAAAAGAGGTTAGGCATCCCTGATCTAGTCCAGCCCCCTTCGCTCAGGAGACCCTGTGGCCCATGCCCCCCCCCCCGGCTCAGCTCCACCACGCAGGTGCCTGACCCTCCTGCCGGCCAACTGGTTTTTGGGTCTGCCGTGGGGGGGGAGGGTCACGTGTGTGGGGAGAGGGGGCACGCGGGGGTTGTGCACGCATGCATGGAGGCCCAGATGCATGCGTGGGGTGGAATGTATGCGTGGGGGGCGTGGTGCACACGGGGTCGCACACACATGGACGGGGGGGCGCAAGTGCATTGCATTATGGGTGGAGGTACAGGGAGCGCGGAGAAGGCTGCCCATCCCTGCCCTGTAGCCTGGGCAGCAGCCAGCAGGGGTGAGAAGCCCTTTCAGAGACCCCTTGGGGTCCCTTTCCCTCCCTCCAGCACGCAGACGCAGGCCAACTCCTGGCTCTGCACAGGGCCCAGCAGCTGCTTCTCCAGTGGGGGGGGGGGGCTGCCCCATGCTCCCTGCGTCGCCCACTCCTAGCAGGGCTTGGCTCCATGGCGGTCCGGGTGCAGCCTCCCCTCCCCCCTCCAGGAACTCAGGCTTGTTGAATTTGGGGCGGGGGCCGAGGTGTGACCCTTGAGGTGGGGGCTTCCGTGCGGTGCCAGAGCAGAAGGAGCCTCGTCCTTGCAGGGAGAAGTAAACCTTTCGGAAAGCAGGGCTGCTCAGTGTGGACTTCAGCTCCCAGAATTCCCCAGCCGGCCTAGTTCTGAGCGCCTTGCGTGGCTGGCTGGGGGGATTCTGGGAGTTGAAGTCCACGTGTCCTGAGGTTGGGCAGCCCTGCACTGAGGTGAGGAAGGGAAACCCGTAAGAGGGGTGGGAGGGGTTGGTTGATTGATTGGATTGTTTTTCCGTTGATCCGTGGAGTCCGTCACGGCTCCTGCCAACGGCCGGCACAAGCCTCGGCAGGCCTCCTGGCAGAAGGCCAGGCGCCTGCTCCTTCCTAAGGCTGAGAGAGCGGGAGAGGAGCTGGCGTTGTGCCCTCCCCGTCTCTAGCCTGGAGCCTGAACCGGGCACCCAAGCGGGCTCCCCTGGGTGGCTGCGGTATCCACAACAGCCTCTCGGCTGGGAGCCTGCCAGGCCTCCTCTGGGCCTGGGGGCCTCTCGCCCGGCCCCCTCCCGCCTCCCTGCAGCCCTGCCCAGGCGGGGATGGAGGGGGGGGGATGCCCCAGGTGGGAGTCCAGGACCCCCCAAGAGGGGGGAGGGGTCGGGAGGGACCCCTTTTGGAAAGAGGATTTCCTCCCTGGCAAGAGCTGTGGAAGGTTGGGGCGTCAGTGCAGGTAATCCTCGACTTACGACCACACGGGAGGCCAAAATCGCCGTGGCTAAGCAAAGTAGTTGTTGAGCAAATTTTGCCCCAATTTACGTCCTTTCTTGCCACAGTCGCCAAGCGAATCACTGCAGTTAAGTTAGTAGTACGGTCATTAAGTGAGTCCGTCTCTCCTCATGGACTTTGCCTGTCAGAAGGTCGCGAAAGGGTGTCGCCTGACCCTCGCCTGCGACCGTCATAAATGAGAACTGGTTGCCAAGTGTTTGAATTTTGATCACGTGACCATGGGGAGGCTGCAGTGGTCGTAAGTGCGAAAACGGTCATAAGTCACTTTTTCCAGTGGCCTCATAGCTTTGAACGGTCACGAAAGAGGCTGTTGTAAGTCGAGGACTGCCTGTTGTGGGTTTAAAGGTCCTTGAGAGAAACACCGTCCATCGTCCGAAAAGAATAAAACGGAATTAAAATCAGCTTTAAAAGACAGCCTGGCTGGGGACTTTTTCTGAGCTCCCCCCTGGCAGAGTTGGCTTCTCCCCCTTCCCTCCAGTCACCCCCCCCTGCCAGCCCCTCCCTGCCCATCGGGGGGGGGGGGCTCTTTGACCTTGGCCCACTTGGACTTTTCAAGGAGGCGCCCAGAGCCGGGCAGAAGCCCTGTGAGGTACCAGCCGGGCAGAGCAGGAGGAGGAGGAGACCCTGCCCGGATGCCCTTGGGCTGCCTCTCCTGCAGTCAAAGACCCCCAGATCCTCGGGGGGGGGGGGTGTTTCTGCTACAAGCCAGCAGCCTTGGCCGGAGGGGGGGAGGCTGAGTTGGGGGCGGGGACCCCTCCTCTTGGGTCCTGCTTTGACTGTGACCCCCCCCTCTTTTCTCCTTCTCCCCCCACCAGGAATTTATCTTGCCGGCTCCTGAACGTTGGCGGCCCTGGGAGTTTTTCTCTCCGAATCTTCTGGGAGACAGAAATAATATATTTGTGTGTTTTAAATTATTTTTCGCCTGAATTTTAACTGCTGAGGCCGGGGGGGGGGGGAGTGCAGGGGGGAGAAGCCTTGCTGGAGGCCTGGAAGGTCGGAAGAGGACGGTGCCCCTTGGACAGCCCGGAAGATGCCCCAGCCAGCCGCTCTCCCTCCCTCCCTCCTTCTCTGGTGGCCGCTGGGCCCCGACCCTCGTGGGAAGCAGCCGAAGGGAAGGGGGGCTCCGGGGGGGTCAGCCTTGCTCTTTTAATAAAGAGGTTTGTTTTTGTAAGGAAAGCGCGTCCTCTGAGGTCATTCGCGAGGGCAGGGCGTGGAATGCATTCCGGGGGTGTGTGTGTGTGCAGGGCAGTTTCTGCAGGGGGGCTCCGTGGCAGGCATTCGTGGGGAGCGGTCCTCACACACGTGACCGTCGCAGCATCCCCCACAGTCACCCGATCAAAGCCCGGGGGCGCTGGGGGTCCGACGTGTCCTTTGGACGGGTGCAGCTTCTCGGGGTCTCCCCTTGTGGCTGGCCCCCTCCCAACAAGCAAAGCCAGGGGGGATCCGCCTAACGACGGCTTTTCTTTCATTGAAAATCTTTGGGGGAAAAAGGCTTTTACAAATGTTTTCCACCCCCCAACCGTCCCCCACGCCCCACCCGACTTCCCAGAACAAACACAAGGTATAAACCTTTAACAAAGACCTTCTAAAATAAACTTAAAGGAAGTATCATATTTCATTTCGGCCTTAACTCCCCTTTTGTTAGGCTAATTCTATAAACGGATTATATCGTTCCTCTCTCCTTCGGTCATAAACTAACACCCAACGACTGCTTGGTTGATGCACACAACGGCTGAAGTGCTTCACTTGGCCAAAAAAAAGGCCATAAAACCGGGGACGGCTCACTTAATGACCACCTTGCTTACCAGTGGAAATGCTGCTCCCAGTTGTGGCTGTTTCATTGAAGGCCCACTCAGGAAAGGGAGATGGGCCTCGTGGCAGGGGGGTGCGCTTGGGGGGCCCTGAGCCCACAGACCCTGGGGGTCCTTGGGTGGGAGAGAATCGGAGCAGCAGAAATTGGCAATGGGTCCTCAGTGCTGCCGCCCGCATCCTGCCAGCCTTGACCAGGAAATGCGCGGCTCCCTCCGGCTGAAGGAACCGCAGAGGCCGCCTGGCATCTCCTGATAACGGGCGAGCCTTGAAGCCGAGGGGCCTGTGAGGATGGAAGGGAGATGTCCAGGGAGGGAGGGGGGGAGGGGGAGGGGCTGGGCCCAGAGAGCAGCGGAGGGCAGTGCCAGGCACCCACCCTGGCCAGGCACCAGGGGAAACGGGAGGAAATCCAAGCCACGCAGGTACGGATCTTCCTTCAGAGCAGCTCCTGTTTTCTTCATTGCTTTCCTAAAGAGGCTCCCCTTTCTCTCGGCCGGGAAGGAGCTTTTCACCCTGAGGAGGAGGGGAGGGGGAGGCCACGGGCCACCCTGGCCCCGAGTGGAGGGACAGCGCCAGCCACGCTTCAGAGACCAGTTGAGGAGGCCTTGGCCAGGGTGGCCTCCAGCCTTGGTCACTGCCAACAGGTGAGAAACCACGTTAAGTGCAGAGAAGAGCCACCGAGAAGATGGGGGGAGGGGTTCCCAAGAGAAGGAAGCCCCCCCTCCCCCCGCAGAGCTCTAAGGGGGGAGGCGGTGACACTTGCTACTATTTTATTGGGGAGCAATTAACTTGAAGACCTGGGAGCGATTCGGATGGGGGAATCCAGGCTGGTTTATGTTTAGGGCTGCCTTTTCCTTACTCAACTGATCAGCCCCCCCCCCCCCCCCCCCCCCATCACCCCAAAAAGGAAACTCTGGGCAGCCTGAACAAGATAAGTGGATAAACGGGAGCCATTCAGATGAAGGGGATTTGAGGCGTCTCTTGCAGGAGGCTCAGCTGCCCCTCCCCCACTCTCCCGAGAGCCAAGTGGGGCCCACTCCCACAAGCATCCTTTCTTGAAGCAATTTCTCACAGGAGCCCATTTCTGACGCCCCCCCCCCCCAAGGCTGGGGGTTAAGGAAGGGAGTGGGGCTGGCTCTTCCCTGGAACTGCCCCCTTTCTGCAAAGGAGAGCAAATGTCAACAGCTTCAGAATCTTTGCCCCTTGAAGTCTAAATAAAGGTAGAAGGTCAGCAAAATGGTCCAGAAAGGAAGGTGTGGATTGTTAACTCAGGGCGGATTCACTTCCCCAAAGCCTTAGAAAGGTGCAATACTGCTAAACGGAAGAATTCACTGCTGGGCATCAGCCCACAGAAAGCCCCCCTGGCACAAGAGAAGGGAGGAGAGAAGAGAACCGAAGAGAATGGAGTTGGAAGGGACCTTGGAGGTCTTCTGGTCCAGCCCCCTTCCTAGGCAGGAAATCCTACATCACTTCAGACAAGTGGTTATCCAACATCATCTTAAAAACTTCCAATGTTGGAGCATTTACTACTTCTTTTTTAAATATTTTTTTATTTTTAATTTTCAAAAGAAACAAAACACCTCCTTCTTTACATATTGTAGAAAGTATAAAAAAGACTTTTGTGCATCTCTTCCACAGTCAACAAACATAATTCAGATTAACTCA